AAAAAAAAAAAAATTTTTTTTTGACCAAAAAAAAAGGCAAAAGTTGGAAAATCAAAAACTGCCAAAACATAAGGAAAATATATTCATTGATTGGAAGGAAAACATGGCGCGTGGGATTGAGGCGGGAAAAGAAATTCCAAGTCAATTTTGTGCAATCAAACAACAATATAATGGAAAAATGGAAAAAGTTTTCAAAGTTCCAGGGAAAATTTGTAGTTTCAAACGGGGCCTTAGTTTCTCCCACGGGTTTACATTTTTCACTCTATCATTTCTCCGACCAAGTTTTAGTTTCTATCTCTCTACCCATTTTTTTCATATTCATCGGCGTTGTGTTTCTTTCTTCATTGGTGCCGGCGATGCTCAATCACAGCTCTCTCTACTATATTTGCCGTTGTGCGGTGCGATCTAGGCATTGTGAACTGGTTGTTGTGGAATTGTCTACTATGTGGCTTGATCTGAGTGCCGTAGCCTTACCCAGTCCTGAGCCTCGAGTGGCCTTTTGTTTAGAGGTTTAGAATTGTCATAGGTTGTGGTGGAATTTCTTTATGCGCTTTGCTCAGTTTTCAAGCTTAATTTCCGTCACTTTGCTCATTCTATCGGCGCTCACAAGTCCCCGTGGCGATGGCGATGGTTTTTGTGGGTGGTTTCTAATTCGATGCACTGTAGCGGTGTTGGCGGTGATAGTGAAGATGGTGGTTTGTAGTGCTGGGTTTGGATTAGGATTGTATAAACATGGTTTGTGATCAATAAATTAAGTTAATATGTGATTAATAAATAACACGTGACATGTGTACAATGACTTGTGACATGTGAACTGATAATATGCCACATGATCACATATTTATGTTCATAGGTCAATATTAATTGGTCATATATTATAGGTCACAGATGTTCACATGTCACATATTATAGTTTACATGTCAATATTAATTGGTCATGAGTTATAGTTCACAGGTTACGGGTTATAGTTTATAGGTCACATGTTACCATTCACAAATCACAGGTAGTGATGGCAATCGAGCCGA